CCCTATCCACACAGCTTTGAGCATATTTGTTTACATTTTACAGAAATTAAATTTTAAACCAGATGACTCATTTGCATAAACTAAGTGCTCAAAAAAACAGTTGTTATTGTGCACTGATGTGGTTCAGCTTCTGTCGGACTAAAGGACACGACTCAGTGGAATCTGAGTGTTCTTTCTGTGACAGAGGGGTGTTCTGCTGATGGTGAGTCTGTTCTGTGTTTCTGTCGTGTTGGAGATGGTTCATGTGAAACTTTTCAGAGATTATACGTCTGCAGGTCGTACACACAGACACACGTTTATATGAATGGACACATATTCTAGCCTCTTAGTGTTTTGGTGGTGAATTACTTCACGGTGAACAGACCTACATCAGAGTATCAGTGTTTTCAGGCGTCCACATGGTGCCGGATCAGATCTGTACGAACATGAATTTGTGGGAGCTGGAGGCACCAGATCGTTCCGTCTCTGGAGCCGTTTTCAGTTGGATAAATGTGAATGAACACTGCATCCACAATGAAAACGACTCGAATACGCATAGACTCTTCAACTGTCAACTGAGGCCATTACTCACCTCACCTCTGTTAAAGGTATTTAGACGTTTAGTACTTTGTTGTTTTATCTGGAACTTTACACAGTTGAATCATTTTGTGTCAGTTATTGTTAATGTTACTAAATAAATGTGTAACTTCTGCCTGATAAACCTCTAAGTGACACAACAAGCTCCAAACTAGTCTTTAAATGTTAGTAACTACCTGCTTAAATAAATGAACATTGTGTTTTTCTTACGGATATGAAAATGTCGTACATAAATCTACTTAATTTGGGTTTGATTTTACATTTCTCACGCTTCATTTAACTCAGAAGAAGACAGATTTGAGCTGTTTATATGTGACCTCTCTCTTCTTCTCTCTCACAGCTCTGGACTCAACCCTAAAGCTTCTGTTCAATCACAAAAGAATCCTACTTATTTAGAATTATTATCACCATTTATATATTTTTATCACTTTGTTATTATATTATTTTGTGATGTGTGAACTACTGGGCCCAAGTCATTTCCCTTGTGGATCAATAAAGTTAGTCTAAGTCTTTAAGAGAGCTTTAAGAGAGCCAGGCACCCCGACGCCCTCACAACATCACATTAACTTTTATCTGTGCTGTGCAGCACTTTGGAATCTGTTTCGTTTATAAGCAGTGCAATATAAATAAGTCAAAAGTCAATTGGGTTTTATTTTGTTTCAAGACAAATGAGAGGCGGTGATATAGAAAGTTATCCTCCTATTAGATAAAACCTGCAGCTCCATCATAAATGAAACTGGGATGTCATTATCTGTCGGCTCATATACTGTGGACACTGTGTTTATTACAAGCTTGTTTTAGTCATAGTCTCCATGGAAATAGACAAGTTTATTATCATACGGTGAAAAATTTCAGAGAAATTACATGATGGTGGAAACTTTCACACGTTTTCTTCATATCTGAGGAAACAGACAGGTAAGATTTATATTAGGTACTTTGCAAATACACAGAATTCCAGCTCCAAAGAATATACAACTCGATAAAAGTTGCATTGTGCCAATTTGTGATGGAGGGTCCGTCAAATGCTTTTCTTCATGTTGATTGCTATGGTGCACTGTGTAACTTTTTGGTTGGAAGTCTGTCACCTGCTTGGTTCTATAGAGATGTCATTGCTCTGACTGGAATGTTCCACAGTGTGACATTAAACAGTTCTACCTTGCATTTTTTTCAATTACAGGTGGTTTTATAGCTCAAAATTACCTAGAAAAACAGACATTCTGACTGTGAGCGTGTGACAAAGTGGGCGTTTGTCTCATTTTAAATTTACCTTAGTTTATGTTAAACATTTTGATTTTGAAAAGACATCTTTGTTTTGAAAAGTGACATGGAACCAATACTCCCCTGCTGGGTGGAGTATAAAAGGCAAGCACGTGTCATCAATTAGGAGAGAGACTTCTGTGCAGGTTGTTTGGGGTTTTTCGATTTCAGTTACTTATGTTTCTGTTTATTTGTATTTTTGTTTGGTGTTATCTCCAGAAGTCTGTTTTAAAATAAAATTTTGTCTGGTTAAAGACACTTTTTTGTTGTCATCTGCCTCCTACTTTAACCATTCAGGCCAGCTTCCCCACAGAGTGGCGTCGCCTCTCCACAGATCTGACCTGTAACTTGGTCTGGTTTGGTCTCCATGAAAATAAAAAGGTTTAAAGGGACAGTTTGGAATTTTTGGACATAGGGCCTCATTTTCTCGTGATCCAGAGTGTTGGAGACGTGTGGAGACACTTTTTGAAATATTCCATCCAGTCCTTGTATTTGCAGAGGTCACTGGTGTTAGACTAGTGCATGTCAATGGTCATAGTTCTCCTGCCACTAAAAACCTTGTATCTGAGTTGTTCTTCCTGATAGAAATCTCGGCAGTGGCAGACTGATATATGAGAAAATAGTCCCTCAACATGCGACGATTCATGTGATGCAAGGTTAGTTTTATTTCAAACATTATTCTATGGACACAGACATTCACATGGACAGTCTGGTGTAATAATAGATTTGTTTGGGGTGTTTTGTGGTGTGGGTAAGAGTGTTTTTACATTTTTTCACGAAGAAATGAGGCCCTATGTCCAAAATTCCAAATGCTCCCTTTAAGCATCTCTGTATCTGTAGTGAGTCATCGAAGCTCATAATTTAACCGTCTTCAGCTCAAATCTCAACGTAGAACAAAAAAAGAAGCAGAGTTTTGACACTAGCGCCAAGAGAAGTGCCCATGATAAATATGAAGTGAGTATAGTTATGATGCTGACAGGCTTATGACTCAAAGCAGGTCTGCAGCCCTTCGTACGTCTCACGGGAACAGGCTGGATCACATGACTCAGGTCCATGTGGATGTTGTTTACAGGAGGGAGGTCAGAGCTCCACTTTCACTCGATACGTCTGTCTATAGGACGCACAGGACTCACATGTTCATGGATATATTAGAACCGAATCAATATTATGACACTGAAGCGTCCAAAGACATTTTCTGATATTTTGTAGCAATTTTTTAGGGACCACAGGGAAGCTTGTTTATGCGATACACTTGACATATTCACACAGTTTTGGTTTTGATTTAAAATTAACTTTTTACACATAGTGTTTAACAAAAAATGAGTTTCATTCTTAAAAAACAGCAACATGTCACTGTATCATGCAGTATTATTCGATTCAATTATCACATTTATATTATATATCGCCATATTGTGATAATATCGCATCGTGAGCCATGTATCGTGTATCGTATCGAATCATGAGAAACCGTGCGATTCACAGCTCTACTCCATAATATAAATGCTTGGATAATATGATGTTCTGATGCTGTTAGAGTTCTTTAAAAAAAAAAACAAGCACAAAATAGAAAATATTGTAATATGAAAGATCCTTTCTTTTGTCAAAACCTATTTTCATTTCCTTAACTATCAATTACGAAACTATCAATTAATACTGGGGCTATGTGTTAAAGGTGCTCTGTGTAACTTTTCTGGTGGAGCATCTGCCACCTGCTTGCCTCCATGAAGATGTTATTGCTTCCCACATTATCAAAATAAACTTGGTTATGACAAAGGAGACAAACTAACCGTCAAATCTATGGAGAAACAAGACTGTATATCATAAGAATTCATGTTTTTCAAGGTATTTTTTGAGCTATAAACATCTGTAAGTGAATAAACTCAAGGCAGATATGTTTAATACTGTACTGTGGAACATTCTATGCAAAGAAATAACATCTCTGTGGGGACAAGCAAGTAGAAAACCCTCCAGCTTAGTAATTATATAGTGCACTTTTAAGTTTAAGAACAGACCTAGTTGTTAAAAGTTACCCTTTGTTGTTTGTATTTTAATAGTATAAATATTCTATAAATTTTGCCATTATGTCCCCACCACACACTGTTGGGGATAAGTTATAATAATATTTTCTATAATAACATGTTGCATATTCATATATAGCCTAATATAGTGTTGACATAAGATTATTTGTGGTTTAGATGATGCAAAATCCACAAAGTCTCAACCATAACGTTTCATTTAAAAGTCCAATATTAAACAAAATGAACTCTTGTGAGCATTTAGCCTTGTCAGAATGTTGTTACCTCTTCAAAAACAGACCTGGAGTTGTGTTTTGTTTCATTTGCACATGTCTGAGTAACCTTTTATTATTAATTATTATTCTGTCTACATCCCCAAAGCTCAAAATGTTCTTTCATAAATTCATATTAAATGGCATGTTTTCAGATATTTTATGAATAAGTGCAGTCATTTCCACGCATATTAGCAACATTTGTCCATCTTGAGTCATCATTTTACTAATACGCACACGACCACTCCAAATCTTCAGCAAACGTGCCCAAACCGGTGCCAAATTACGCATTTATCCTTTTTACGCATTTCGCCTCGGAGTAGCGGTCACTCGGCCATCTTCCAATGCGCGCGCCCTCCCCTGCTCCACTGCGGGAGAACTGGGTTGATATGTCTGTGCCAAGTCTCCTCCAACACAACCACACTCATAGTACACTGTGTGCCGCTTATACCCGGCGCGTAACCGTTGGCCTAGTGCTCTAACCAAAACTAACCGCCCCGTATTCCCACAAAAAACGCCATTACGGGACATTTTAGTGGCTCAACAGGCCGCGCTGACTTCCATCCATCAAGCAATTAACCGCAATGCCACGCTGCGCATTTGACACGGCAAGGGCACGGGGATAAACTTCACCCTGCAAAAATACGCAATTCTATCTCGCGTGCGTAAATTTGCAATGCGTAAATGGAAACAAATGCTTAATCTGCAATTTAAATCTGTAATTTTTTTGTGGATTTTCTGCTAGCAAATGCGTAAACACAGACACACACTGCATTATTAATGATTGGTCACCCGTGGTACTTATTATGCACGTGGACTTTGCAGAGATTCCGTGCGTAAAATGTTAAATTACGAACAAATTGTATTAATGGTGGCTTACCTGGTTTGCAAGTGTCGACGTAGAATACTGCAGAAAAGCGACCTCCAAAATCAAACGTGGAATGCATCAAATAACTAGCATTCACTAATTAGCTTCACTGGGCTCTTACTAATGCCTATTCTGAACAAGACAGTGCGCCGTTTGCGTTTTAAATCTAATGCCATTTCGTCAATACAAGAAGAACAACAAGAAACTGTCTGTTCTGAGTCCCAGCATCCATGCATTTATCCACTGCGCACCAGCCCAACCCATCCGTGCACGGGCCCTCGCTGCTCCCTGTATCCGCAGCACAGACGCTCCTCCTCGGGCGGGGTGGGGGAGGAGGAGGAGGAGGGAGGCGCTGCTGGGGGCGAGAATGGAAGAGGGGGAGGTTCCGAGGAAGAGGGAGCCGCCAATGGGAGCGCGGGGACGGGTTGTTGCTAAGGCTGGACGCGGGGAAGGGGGGGATGCCGGGGAAAAGCGCGTGAGCATTTACGGTGATGATGAGGAGTTTGGTTTTCTAGAAAGGCCACCATGTTTCGTTCAATAAATATTCGCCGTTTGGTGCAGAGGTTTGAAAACGTCCTCCGTGAACCCCACTGCTTTTTTTTTTTTTTTTTTTTACGTGACTTGCAACTGTAGTCTTAAAGGTACACTGTGTAACTTTCTAGTGGAGGGTTCGTCAAACGCTTTTCTCCATTAAGATGTTATTACTTTGTCTGAAATGTTCCACAGTATGGCATTAAACCTTTCTATGTTCATGGAACCCAAACTAGACCAAGTTACGGGTCAGATCTGTGGAGAGGCGACTCAGCTCACAGTCAGAATGTTTGTTTTTCTAGGTGTTATTGAGCTATAAAACCACCTGTAATTAATAAATGTAAAGTAGAGCTGTTTTAATGTCACACTGTGGAACATTCCAGGCAGAGAAATAGCGCATCTAAAGAGCCAATGAAGTCACTTACAGGTGTTTCTTGCTCAAAAACACCTTGAAAAACATGAATTCTTACAATATACAGTCTTGTTTCTCCATAAATCTGACCGTTCATTTGTCTCCGTTGTCATAACCAAGTTTATTTTCATACTGTGGAAAGCAAAAACATCTCCATGGAGACAAGCAGGTGGCAGACCCTCCACCAGAAAAGTTACCCATGCACTTTTATCACATCGTTCCAGTATTAATTGATAGTTTCGTAATTGATAGTTAAGGAAATGAAAATAGGTTTTGACAAAAGAAAGGATCTTTCATGTTACAATATTTTCTATTTTGTGCTTGTTTTTAAAAAACTCTAACAGCATCAGAACATCACATTATCCAAGCATTTGTACTCAGTGTTGGGGAGTAACAGATTACATGTACCAGAGTTACATAATCAGAGTACAAATTATGAGTAACTGTATTCAGTTACAGTTACTGTTTCCATGAGTGGTAATTGGATTACAGTTACTTTGTTGAAAAAAATGGATTACACGGCGTGATTTTCCTGTTTTCACATTTTGGGCTAAACCAGGACTAAACCAGGTCTAAACCAGGACTAAACCAGGACTAAAACAGGACTAAACCAGGTCTAAACCAGGACTAAAACAGGACTAAAACATGACTAAACCAGGTCTAAACCAGGACTAAACCAGGATTTAACAGAACTAAATCCTGCTGTGTGGACGTGTCTCCTCGTCTTCTATCAATAATATTTTTAATTTGGTTCAGTAAAGTCTGGGCTTTTTATTTTCTTTTATCAGACAAAACATCTTATGTGAAGATTTCCTCATCTTTGCTTCTCTACAGCAAATCAAGTAATCCAAAGTATTTAGATTACATTACTCACTTTAAATAATTTAATGGATTCCGTTACAAACTCCATTTTGGGGTCTGTAATCTGTAGGGGAATACATTTTAAAAGTAACCTTCCCAACACTGTTTGTACTGTGGAGTAGGGCTGGGAATCACACGGTTTCTCATGATTCGATACGATACACGATACATGGCTCACGATGCGATATTATCACAATATGGCGATATATGTGAGAATCAGATCGAATAATTCTGCACAATACCGTGACATGTTGCTGTTTTTTAAGAATCAAACCAGAGAAGTTACACAGTGCAGCTTTAATTGGTATTTGCAAGGATTAGTCCAGTGTTTTTACATGACTACAAACACATACTGACATACTGGTTACATACTGAGTTAAAAACAAGTGTGCATGAAAACAGATCACGAAAGGCTTTTGGATTGGTGATTGTTAAAGGGGCCATATTATACAGTTCTGATTTGTTATAATGTTGTTTCCTCATCAAAAACATACATAAACACAATACAGGAAGTGCTCCCCTGTGTTTTTAAACTCCATACAACTTCACTAAAATAATTTTGGATGATTTCAGCTCTGGAATTGCCAAACTAATGAACAAAATGCAATTATTTTTAAGTCTATTTTTGAATTATTTTTAATCCATTATTTATTATCTGTTTTATTGCATGTTACCTTTTTCCTGCTGTTCTTGAATTGCGCGTTGGAACACTGGAATTTCCCCACTGTGGGACTAATAAAGGCATATCTTATCTTATCTTATCTTATCTCAGGGGTGTAAAACTCATTTTGTTTTGGGGTCGTATCCAACCTACTTTAATCCCAAAGGGGCCAGATCAGAAAACTCATGTCATATAAACCCCAAAAATTTCAAGTTCAAATATTTGTGCAGAGAAACACAAATCTATTACAGAAATCTTTTTTAAATTGATTAATTCTTTCTTATTATAATATTATAATATTATGAACAACCTGAAACTTTAAGAAAAATTAAATTTCAACAATGTTTTAACATTAACTTGTTTGCAAACAGGAATAAGTCCATTTTTGTTGTAAAATCCTGCACTCGGCTCCACTTTTCTCATGTTGGACATTTTGTTGATGAGGGTGTCACGGTCAACAGTCAAAACGATCGTCCTTTAAGAGCGTTTGGAAAGAGACAAGTCTTCATTTGTGCTGCTCTGGTGGGAGGGGCCACGTACAGAGACGCTGGAGACGCTGCTGTGATAAACACCACAGAAAATTAACAACATTTTAATAGAAAATATAATTAAAATATTTTAGTAGAAAATCACCCAAGGGCCACATTAAAGGTCTTGGAGGGCCAGATCTGGCCCCCGGGCCTTATGTTTGACACCTGTGTCTTATCTTATCTTATCTTATCTTAAAAGGCTAAAGGATCTGTTCACTTGAAAACTACAACCACTACATGACAACATCACAAGGTGGAGGAAAGACAAAGGAGAAATTCAATTTGTCAGCTGGACAAATGTTTATTTAGGTGGAAAACGTTTCTCAGCTCATCCAAGCTGCTTCTTCAGTTGTGGTCAGACGCTGGTGGACACTTCTTTGTATCTACCTGAAAGGAGGAGCTAACTACACTGAAACTCCTCTGAAACTAACACACACACTTGTTTACAGGTTCTGTTGGGCTGCGTTCAGACTGCAGCCTGAAGTGACCCAAATCCGATTTTTTGGCCTCTATGTGACCTGTATCTGATCTTTTAATGACAGTCTGAACCACACAGATCAGATTTTTTCAAATGTGACCCAGGACACTTGGATATGTGCTCCTGAAACTGATACATATCTGATCTTTTGACATGTGACTTCAGTCTGAACGGCCAAAGTGCATTCATCCACCTACACATTATCAACAAGACACAAACATCACTATTCTGTGCTGAAGTAGGCGAAAATTGTTAATGAACTCCATGTCACTGAAGCTCACACTGGAGACACATACAAGTCACATTTAATTGGAAATGTGAACGACCTCGCAAAAACATCGGATTTCACAAAAAAATCGGAATTGAGCGTTAAGCCCTGCAGTCTGAACGTAGTCTTAGTTAACTAGTCCTGTTCACCTGTCCTGAGTGTGGGGTCATATACACATAATCGTTCAGGCCCATAATGAGTATTTTCACACTTAACCAAATGCTTGTCCAGGTGACAAGTTGAATTTCTCCTTTGCCATGGATTCTACGTAGACTGATTCATCAGCCAGTTACACTTCATATAAATCGTCTGACCTCGCAGTGTTAGAATTTGTTCGCTCGACGGTAGGCAGGTACTTTTTATTATTTAACCAGTTGCTGCTATTTGGTCGTGATGTATGTAATGCTCCACTAACGGGGCTAACTGGTATATTAAGCTTTTCCCAAATCCTGTAGGAAGAAGAACAATAACGTCTTTCCCCTTGATCAAATTCACCAAACATTCTCTTTGTTCTGGTTTTAAATTCTTGATCTCGGGAATCACTAACAACACAGAATATGTGACTTTTCTCTGATTGGCTGGTGCCTGAACTCGATCTTTTGAGGTTTTTGCGAACTGTCTAGTGTATTCTGATTCCTGATCTAGTCACTGGAGAGAAATAAAATTGAGCGGAGGCACTAGGTGGCACCAGCCTGGATAGATTCTACCTGAACGACTGAGGGATTCTACACACAAGGTGGAACAGAGCGTTTTGAGTTTTGGAGATGTAGACAGACTAATAATGCAGAGTTACTCAAACGTGTGAATGAAACAAAACACAACTCTAGGTTTGTTTTTGAGGAGGTAACAACATTCTCCAAGGCTTGAAGCTCAGAGGGAATTTTGTGTGATATAAGGACCTTGAGCTGCAAAGGTTTTAATGGCAAATTGTAGTTTAGGGGTAAATCCTGTTGCTTTTTTTCTGTGAGCTGAATCTTTCTTTCTTCCTGTTTCCTTCCCTCCTCCCTTATACTCATACTTCCTTATTTACTTCCTTCTTTCTTTTCTTCCTTGTTTCTAACGTTCTTGTTTCTTCGTCCCTTATTCTTTTCCTTCCTATTGTCCATCCTTGTTTCCTTTCTTCCCATTTCATTTCTCCTTCATGCCCTTCTTTATCACCTTCCTTCTTTCTTGTTTACTTGCTTACTTTTGAACTTCCTCGTTTACTCCTTGCTTACTCTTCTTTTAATTTCATGACTTATCATCTTTCTTGTTTCCTTCTGTTTTGTTTCCTGCCTTCCATGTTCTCTCCCTTCTTTCCTTGTTTCCTAGTTCCCTTGCCTCCTCCTCTTCAGTGCTGCTGTCTCGTCTTGTTCACTACATTTCTCTGGATAAGTGCTGGTCAGCGGACTTCTCTGGTTTCTGGAAGGCCCTGTGTCACATTATATTAACAGTGTAGACCTGTGTGTGTGTGTGTGTGTGTGTGTGTG